AAAGTTTCCAAAATTCAGTTCCAAGAAATACAAAGAACTCTAAATAGAATCAACCCAAGAAGATCTTCTCCAAGACAGATTGACCAAAACCACAGAAAAAGACAGGATACTAAGATTGGCAAGAGAAAAACGGCAAGTTACCTACAAAGGATATCCATCAGGCTAACAGCAGGCCTCTCATCAGAAACAATTTGAGTGAGGAAAGAATGGGAAAATATATTCAAAGTGTTAAGGGAAAAGCAATTTCAACCAATAATATTGTACCTGGCGAGATTATCCTTCATATGGGAAGAAAAGACAAGAACATTCTCAGATAAACAAAACCTGAAAGAGTTTAGTAACACCAGACCAGCTCTCCAAGAAGTTCTCAAGGGAGTAGCTATACCAGGAAAATTAAATAGATACACAGAAATAAGAGTTCAGAAACTAAGAAAATGGCCAGCTTAATCTAGGCACAAGTCTGGAGTTGAATATTGTATCCCAGAATTTAATCGGGAAGATTGAACTACAATAGAAAATAGACTTAGTACGTGAGACTGAACTGGTGAAATAGCATTTTGTGACTTTTGACTAAAACATTGCTGGTTTTCTTGTAGGCTTTGTTTTCCAGTTTTAAGGATTTTTGTCCTGTCTTGAACTGTCAATAGGTTCATGTACTTACTATTTGAACAGACTTCTAACCTGTATCCTGGTTTTAAGCAAAGTTCCTTAGCTTTTCTTTGATTTATTAAAGTTAAAGCTGCTTTTCTTGAAATTACCAGCTGAACTTGCTATTGAAAGCAGTAGGATTATATAAGAAATTGTGTGATCAATAAAATGTGGGGGAAAAAGGAATGGAAAACAAGGGTAGGCACCAGAGATAGTGTGGGAGGAGGGTGGGAAAAGGCAGAGGATCAGAAATGGGGGTTATGTACACACACACACACACACACACATATATATATGTGTGTAACTGGATATGGAAAATTATTGATGTTAACATGCATGATTAAGCCACAATGCAGTACATTCTGGATGGGAAATCACATTTTGTTTACTGTGACGATGCTTAGGGAATGAATATACATTAATTAATTAAGAAAATGTTTCAGGAAAAAAAAAGCTCATGGAAATAAATGTAATGGGAAAACTATGTATGAATTTCAAAAAGTTTTTGTACCAAAATAAATTCATACTTTAATTATAAAATAAAGTTAAAAAAACTAAAATTCAGTAATTATTAGTGATATATTCACAAAGTTGAACAACCACTGCCTTTATCTATTTCCAGAATATTTCATCACCCCCAAAAGGTACTTTGTACCTATTCACAGGTATTTGCCATGTTGCATACCTTAGTCTTAGGCAGACATTAATCTACTTTCAATTTCTATAGTTTAGCCTATTCTGGATATTTCATATGAGTAGAATTATACAACATACACACATCTGTGCCCAGAGTGATTTTCAAGCTGTTTAGTCTGGGACTTGAACTGTGGTCTGTGGTCGGCCCTATGGGATCCAACATCTGAACCACCATGCCATTTGCTGGCCCACCCTCCAGTCTCTGCTTTTTATAGGTCTGTTAAGATTTTTTTTTCCTTCTTGAGTCAGTTTTTACATTTTATTTCTTGTTAGGAATTTCTTTCACTTAGTTGACCTAATTTGTTGACATAGAAATTTGTTGTTTATAGTATTCCTTTATTATCTTTTGTTTTTTTTCTGTAAGATTTGTAGTAATGCTTCCTCTTTAATTTCCAGGTTTACTTATTTGTGTCTGCTACCTTTTATTGGTTAGTCTAGCTAAAGTTTCAATTTTACTGATCTTTTCAAAGAAAAAAATTTTTAAGTTTTTTGTTGTAGAATATGTGCTACAGAGACAGAGAGGAAAAGTGAGAAATAACTCCCCCCCCTAGAAGAATGGTCATGACAGTCTTTTCTCCTCCATTTTCTTCTTGAGATTTTGGGCATGCACATATATGTGCCTGACACTTTTTTTAAGCTGCCGGATTTGGGACTCAAACTGTACTGTTGGTCATGTGGGACTGAGCTACCTAAACTACCATGCCACCAACTGACCTCAAAAAACACTTTTCATTTCATTAATTAAAATTTTTTTCCAGTTTATTTATCTCTGCACTACTCCCTATTATTTTCCTCCTTAAGCTTGCTTTGAGTTTAAATTGTTCCATATTTTAAGCTGGAAGTTTAGGCTATTGGTTTCTTTCTTGTATTTCATGTTTGTTTGTTTGTTTTATTTTGTTTTGCCATAGGGCATGTGCACTCACTAGAAAGAGAGAGACGGATACAGAGAGGGGGGAAAATGAGAAATCAGATCCTGGGGGGATGGATGGTCATGCCACAGTCTTCTCTGTTTTCTTCCTGGGTTTGTGGGCACACACACACACACACACACACACGCCTGGAGTGATTTTCAAGCTGCCAGGTCCCAGACTTGAACCATGACGGCCATGTGGGAGTCTAGCACTTTAACTACCATGCCACTTGCTGGTCCAACTTTCTTGTATTTTTAAAAAAATGATTTTATTTAACTTTATTTATTTGTTTATCTATTTTAATTTGACCAGAGAGGGACAGAGTGAGAGAGCAAGAGCAAGAAAGTGACATAGTAAGCCGCCAGTTCCAAGGCTTGAACTGTAGTCGACCATATGAGAATCCAGTGCCCTTAACTACCACACCACCTGCCAGCCCTACTTTCTTGTATTATAATATGAATGTTTACAGTTAAAATTCCAAAGCTGTTCTAGATGTTGATTTCTTGTATTTTTGTTTTTATTTATCACAATATATTTTCTAATTTCCTTGTCTCGTCATTTTGACACATTGGTTCTTTTTCAGTGTATTAATTTTCACTATTTGTGAGTTTCTCAAATTTCCTTTTATTACCAATTCTAGGTGCATTGCATTGTTGTCAGGGCACAGACTTGTCGTGATTTCAGTCCATTTATAGTTACTGTATTTGTTTTATTGCATAATACGTGGTTTGTCCAACTGTTCATGCTTTTGTGAAGATTGTGTATTCTGATATTTGGGGATTGGATATTCTAAGAATGTCTTAGGTCTAGTAGTTTTATAGTGTTGTCCACATCTTCTACTTCCTCACTTATTTTCTGTTTGCTTGTTTCATCTTTTATTAAAAACGAGGTATTGCGTCTCTTTGTCTTTTTTGGGATGGGTGTTGGAGAGGCAGCATCTCACTTTGTTGCCCAGACTGGCCTCAAGCTCAGATTCTTCTACCTCATTCTACCCAGGAACTAGGATTACAGCTGTGCACTACCCTACCTGGTTTACAACTTTCTCTCTTTCTCTCTCTTTTTTCTTTTTTAAAGTTTTGCTATAGGGTGCTTGTGCTTGCCAGAGACAGAGTTGAGATAGGAGCGGGGAGTGAGAAATCATCTTCCAGGAGGGATGGCCACATCGCAGTCTCTCCTCCATTCTCCTCCCAGGATCTTGGGTTCTCACGGACACGGAAGCAGTGATTTTCAAGCCACCAGGTCCGGGACTTGAACCACCTAGTCTGCCATGTGAAATCTAGCTGCCTTAACCATCACACTCCTGCCCACTCCTACAACTCTAACTTTGAATTACAGCTTGCTTTCTTCTATTTTATCATTTTTTTGCTTTGTATTTTGAGACATTTTAGATGCATATGAGTTTTTACTTGCTCTCCCTTGACAAATTGGCCATTTTTTATTATAAAGTGGTCTTTGTCACTAAGAACAATTTTTTGTTATTGTAGTCTACTTTGATATAATATCAGTATAGCCTTTAGGCCTCTTTGGCTACTATTTGTATAGTATCTTTTTTCATCCTTTTACTTTCAACTTATTTTGTTTTTGCATCTAAAATGTGTCTGTTGTAAACTTTTAGTTGGATCTTATATTTTTTAAACCTGTTTTAATTTCTGCCTTTTAATTGGTTTGTTCACTGTATTTATATGTAATGTAATTACTCATAGGGTAGGATTATACTTGCCACCTTCTATTTGTTTCACTTTTGTGTTATATCTTTTTCATTCTTTAGTCTGTAATTGCCTTTTATGTTAAATAGCTATTTTCTAGTGTGCTATTTCAATTATTTTGCTATATTTTTAAAATTTAACTTTTAGTGATTGACTTGGGGGTTACAGTTAACACCCCTCCCTCCTTTTTTAATTGGCAGAGGGTGCATGCACTTACCAGAGATAGAAAAAGAGAATCCCCCTACTGGGGCATGATCATGCCACAATCCTTTCCTCTCCATTTTTCTATCCCATCATGATTTGGGGCATGCATGAACATGTACCTGGAATGTTTTTAAAGATGCTGGAGCCATGATTCAAACTGTGGTCAGCCATGTGGGATCTGGCTCCCAATGCCATGTGCTGTGTATTACACTTAACCACTGCTGCTGCATCCTACCCTTAACATCATAATTTACATCAGTATAGTTTGGATTAATATCAATTTAATTGCAGTAGCAAGTGATCTTTTCTTGGTAACTCTAATCTTTCCCTTACATTTGTGCTGGTATTGTTACACTAATATCATCATGTGTTGTCTGCCCAGCAACATAGTAATAACTGTTCTTTTATGCAGTTTTTTTTTTTTTTTTTAAGCCAGCGTATTAGTTTCCTATTGCTGCTTATGTAAGAAAGAGTTAACACAGCAGGCCTTACTGCTTAGCCTTAGAAAGTTCTGTTAAGGAGATCATCCTTTGGCTGACACTTGAGAATTTGGATTTCAGGAGGGTTTCAACCTCAACTGATAACTGATAACAGGTTACTCTCCCAGAGCTGTTTGTACAAACACTATGGTTTATGTGGAATACCCACTTGTGGGAGTCTGGAATTTTGGTATGTGATAGGCAGTTTGCTTTATATAAAGCACCTGCACCCTGCAAAATGTGTAAAGTATTCACGTTATTTAGCTCTAATTAGTATAATTAATACCATTTTTTTTTCTGTGACTCCTGCTTCTGTTTCTTCTTGTTATTAATGTGTTCATCTTTTTATCTCCTAGGACTCTAAAGAATGCTGATGGGAGAACTATTTTCCTGCTTCTCAAATTGTTGAGCTGGTTGCCATGATGGGTGAGTTCAAACTGAAAACATTTTCCAGCTATAATTAAAGGATGTAATTGGGAAGAAAAAAAAATCTCTATTGTATATTATGATAAGCTCTTTTAAAAATTATTTCTTTATTTTTATTTATTTTAAAATTTGACCAGGAAGGGACAGAGAGAGAGAGAGCGAGAGAGAGCATTCGAAAGCAAGCTGCCAGGTCCAAGACTCGAACTGCGGTTGGCCATGTGAGCATCCAGCATCCCTAACCACCATGCCACCTGCCGGCCTCCTGATAAACCTTTTTATAAAGACATTTTAAATAGTAGATTTATGTGATATTTTATATTTATTTACTTAATAGACATTCAGTTAAAGCACTCTTTGTGCTCTTTTGCAGTGTTTGTTTTATGCAGGACACAGCAGGGATGTTCATCATGAATTGCTAATAAGATGGCTTGTGATTTGCTTAGAATTTGATAGCAAGAGCTAAATAATTCACAATATTTTATTATAGAAAAGAACAGCAGGTCATTGGTACTCAGTGAGGATATGTTTTATAACTCTTAATAATATCTAATGTAGCATAGAGTTAATTTAAAGGGAAACTGAAGTATGGGAATGTGTTGAGGGTGTTCTGTTTATGTATCGTTTTGTTTCTATCCTTACCTCCTTTTCTTTTTTCTTTGGTATTGAGGGTTCCATTATGAGGCAAAAGTAGGAAAGGCAGATCTTAAAAAGAAATGGAATGAATGGCCTTCCCTATCTTAAACTGGGAAAAATAGACTGAGTAGTTGGATACAAAGTTATTTTTTGTGTGTGTGTGTTTAGAAGTATTTATTTAATTGGGAACCAGCAGTTAGCGTAATGGCTATGTTGCTGGACTCCCACATAGTCGACCACAGTTCGCATCCCGGACCCAGTGGCTTAAAACTCAACGCCGGGCGCATGTGTGCATGCGCCCAAGATCCCTAGAGGAGAATGGAGGAGAAGGGATTGCAGCGTGACCATCCCCCCGGGGGGGTGATTTCTCGCTTTCTATCTCACTGTCTCCCTGGGTTGGCTGGGGAGGCCCCGCCCCCTAAAGCCAAAAAAAAAAAAACCTCTCAAAAAAAAAAAGAAGTAATTAATTATTACTATTATTATTTTTTAAATTTGCTATAGAGCACGTGCACTCACCAGAGAGTGTGCACGCAAGAGAGAAAGAAAGTGAGAAAACAAGCTTCCAGGTCTGGACTCGAATGGCAGTTGGTCATGTGGGAGCCCAGTGCCTTTAACCACCACACCACCTGGTGGCCCAGGTACCAAGTATTTAAACTTAGACTAGTCCTTCATGTACCCATATAGGCTGAAGAGTTTTTGTCTGCCCACGTTCCTTAGTGCAGGGGTTAAGCACACTTCATTTTGTGTACTTGTGGCAAGTGCGTAAGTCAAGGCCTTCCTACTTTTAAATTTTATGTTCCACTGGGCCAACAGATGCCATAATGGTTAACATGTGGATTTCCACATGGCCGTCCACAATTCGAGTCCCAGATCTGGCGGCTTGCTTTCTCTCTCTCTCTCTTTTCCTTTCTCTTTCTCATTCTCTCTTGGTCTCTTGCTCTCGCTCTTTTGCACTCTTGCTCTTTCACTTTCTCACTCTGTGTCTCTCTGTTCAAATTGAAGAATGATAAATCAAACTAAATAATTCTTCAAAAAAATTTCTCTTCGGGAACCAGCAGTTAGCGTAATGGCTATGTCGCTGGACTCCCACCTAGTCGACTGCGGTTCGTGTCCCGGACCCGGTGGCTTAAAACTCACGCCCACGTGCCCAAGATCCCGAGAGGAGAATGGAGGAGAAGGGATTGCGGCGTGACCATCCCCCCTGGGGGGTGATTTCTCGCTTTCTGTCTCTATGTCTCTCTCTGTCTGTCTGGCGAGCGCACGCGCCCTATAGCGAAAAAAACCTCTCCAAAAAAAAAAAAAAAATTTCTCTTCTGCTTTCCTCTTTTGTAACCATGAGTTTAAACTGTCCATCTTCACTCTAATCAGCCTTACCTCCAGCTCCATTTGGATATACATTTACTAAACGTCTATCAACTATTCATTTGGGTTGCTCTTACTTGCACTCTGAGCCATGTATTAAATTGATTACTGTCATCCTTCTCAAATAATAATCCTCTAAAGTAAGAAGCAAAGAACAATTTGTTGCTTAAAAACACATACAAAGGTAATCACCAAAAAACGATTACTATTTAAAGTTTGAATCACAGACTCTTGAATTTTTTTTGAGAAATTTTTGCTATAGGGCGCATGCGCTCACCAGAAAGACAAAGAGAGACAAAAAGCAAGAAATCACGCCCCACCCCCCGGGGGGGCATGCCATAATCCCTTCTCCTCCCCTCTCCTCTTGGGATCTTGGGCATGCCATGCATATGCGCCCAGTGTGAGTTTAAGCCACTGGGTCCAGGACTCATAAGCGCAGTTTACCACATGGGAGTCCAGCGACGTAGCCATTATGCCATCTGCTGGTCCCAGACTCTTGAAATTTGATTGAAGATGTTCTCCTATAATTATTTCTCAAATATAATAAATAAGCATTTAAGTATCTAATTCAGCATTTCTGATATGTTTTAGTTGAAGTTATTTTCTAAATATTAGGTTGTTAGAAAAGTCATGACATATTTTTCTATGCAAAAATGTGTCATGACTTTAACGACCTAATATTTTCTGGTTTTGTGTTCAGTTGAATGACCCTTCAACATATGTCAGAAACCCAGTTTCTTTTATGGGCCATTTGCCAGAGTCTGCATTCTCTGGGTATCCTCACTGCTTCTTGGGCCAACTTACTGATCCTTAGGACACTTATACCTGTCAAACCTGTCTAGTATCAAGTCACCACTACAGGGAATCTTTTTTTTTTTTAATTATTTTTAATTTTATTTATTCATTTACTTATTTTGACCAGAGAGAGACACAGAGAGAGAAAGTGAGAAAGCAAGCCACCAGGTCCAGGACTTGAACCATGGTTGGCCATGTGGCAATGTCCAGTGCTTTAACCACCATGCTACCTGCTGGTCCCCAGGTAATCTTTAGAAAAAAAATTTTTTTTGATTGCCAGAGTGCATGTGCATTTGCTAGAACTAGAGAAACAGGGAGAGGGAGAAATTGTGTACCAGTGGGATGTGGTCATGCCACAATCCCTTCTCCTTCATTTTTCATCCTTTCAGGATTTTGGACATGCACACCCATGTACCTGTGTGTTTCTTGAGCTACCAGGGCTGGGATTTGAACTATAGTCTGCTGTGTGGGATTCAGTTCCCTTAACCACTAGGCCATAGGACCGGCCCCACAGGGATTCTTATTAGAGCAAAAACAGTCTAAGAATAGTTTGAACAGTGCTTATTATCATTTGAGTAAGTTTACCACTACGCTTACTCTTTTGTGGACTTGTTAGCCTACATCTAATCAGCCTCCTCAAGATAAATTTCCTGTGGTACTTACCTACCATGTGATTCTTCTTAAGCAGCAAAAAATTAAATTGTCCTTTGTTTCATATCATCCTCTTAAGATTTGATCTTTCGCTCAAATGGCTCTTTCCTTTTTAATATGATAGATAACTGCACTCATTTTCTTTAACAAGGAAATAAGTATATATAAAAGATAGGAGATTGTAGCCAAAGTCTTTCTGGACATTTACTTATTTTGGCATTGTGATATTAAGCATATAAAAATGACTAAATTCAAGTCTTTTATTTTTTTTGTAATAAAATAGTTAAGATAACATAGATTGCTTCAGTATTAGAGGGCACTTCTCCCCCCCCAATGTGGAATTAAGGATCTTACTTTTCTTCAGGTCATACCAAATTATTTTATTCCAGTTAGGATCATTCTAAGGTTGTTCAGACTGAGGGAAAATTTCTTTTTATCAGTAATTAATGCAGTCTGACGTAGACCTGTTGATGTTGTACTTGTTACGATTACATTGTGCCTGACTGACTCAGTTACCTGTTTAGCTAAGCTAACGTTATGACAGAACTTTATTTTATAAAACATACGTTATGAAGATTTATGAAATTTACACTTAATGTGGAATTCATAAATAAAACTATTACAACTATTATTTAAAATTTTTAATATGCTAATTATTTCAGTATAGACTAAAATATATTGAATGTTATTAGAAATTGATAAATTAGAGGAATTATTTGTATGCTTGAAAGACTGGTGTGGAGGAGACCAGCAGATGGTATGGTAGATTCCACATGGCCAAATGTGGTTCAAGTCCCCAGCCTGGTGGCTTGTAAAGGCATGCTGGGCATGTTTATATGAGTCCAAAATCTCAAGAGAATTTATTGCAGTGTGGCCATCTGCTGGTCTCTCTCTGGGAAATGCACATGCCCTATTGCAAAAAAACAAAAAACACAAAAAAAGACCATTGTGGTTGTTGAATTGTTCAATTATTTTGAATTATTTTCCATATAAGATGTAGCATGGTTTAGTTGTTACTACCACAAGGAAACAAAAATTACTGCTTCCTGAAGTGGTTACTTTTCAAAATCTAAGTTCTAAACTTTCTTGATTCCTTTATTTAGCAATTGCTAATTATCATTAGTAGAATTGATTTACTAGTGAAAATCAATTAAGTTATCCCAGAAGTTATCCTGGTAGCTTATAATTGGCACTACTGCAAGGTACATGTTGTTAAAAGAAATACTTTAGACAATTGAATTTAGTGGAGTTTAATTGAACAAAAAGTGCAATTCTAATTGGGAACCCAGAAATGGCTTCCAAGGGACCCTGGGTAGCCTCGTGATTGAGCATAATTATGTTCTGGAAAGGGAAAATGGCATAAAAAAATAAAAGTGCAGGAATTAGGTAGAGAAATAATTGGATTGGCTGCAGTTCGATATTTGCGAGTGGTAACACAGTTTAAAGGGTGGGCTTTCTGTGACTGAAGTGTGGCCACTGTGAATGCCTATAACTTATCAACTTGCTAAGGGAACAGTTTTGCAGGTGAGGTTGCAGTTCGCTTACGGAAACTAAAGCAGGAGTATGGAGATTTTTTCAGGCCAATATACTTTTAACAATGTTTATAGTCTCAGAAATAAATCTTTGGTATATTTGAAAAAGACAGAAAGTTCATGGTTCATGCTCCTTTTCCAGTTTTATGACCTCAATATATATTTTTAAAAATTTTCAGATTAATTTCACATTTTATTTAAAGCTCCTATTATGATGTATACTATATATATTTTTTAACAGAAAACTTTATAACTGTCCATTGTTCCCTCCCCTTACACTCGATAGCCATGCTCCAGCACCCACTCTCTACTATCCATTCTTCCCTCTTACAGTCTCTAACATCTACACATCTTCAGATCTCTCAACCTCAATATTTTTTTAAAGAGTGGATTTTTCTTTCTTTTTTTATCTTTCCTGTTTAAGAGTCTGTGCATTCGCCAGAGAGAGGTGGAAAGAGAGGGAGAAAGCACTCCCTTTCCCCCATGAGGAATGGTCATGCTGCAATCCCTTCTCCTCTGTCTCTCCCTCCTTTCAGGATGTTGTGCATGCTTGCACAAGTACCTAGCATGTTTCTTAGGCTGCCAGGTGTGGAACTTGAACTGTCGAGTCAACAATGTGGGATGCAGCTACCTCAACCACCAGGCCTGGAACCAGCCCCAAATGGATTTTTCTTAATTGTTTTCATTAAATGGTTACTGGCTAAGATCATTAAAATAGTCTATGATAGGTTTTTAGTTATCCTCAGGCCTCATGATAAAGAAATTTGAGAGAACACTTTCAAATATCAGTAAGCTGATATCACAGATGAAGCTTTTCTTTGTCTTTGATTTCTTGCTGAAAAAAAAATCTGTGAAATGAAGCTTGTACTTTGAATGTAAATGTTGAATAATGATGGTATTAGGTTAATGGGAAAGTCATGACATATCTTTCTGTGTTTTTCTAATGCAAAAATGCATCACGACTTTCCTGACAACCCAATGTTTTTATTCAAAATTGTTTACTGTTCCTTTTGTTTTTACTGAGACTTTAGTCATCTTGTTGATGTTTTGTGTAGGAGTCATAGAAAATAATTTGTTATATAACAAGTCTTTTTTGACCTTCATCCTAGAATGTTAAATCATTAAAAGAATCAGAATAACGTAATTTTGCCAAGAAATGTCTCATGTGTGGACCCCTAGTCTGATAACAGAGTTTAGTCCAGTGCAATTTTAACGTTATTTGTCTTCAGGGTTTTTGGGGTTTTTTTGATCTTCAGTTTTTAAATAATTTTATTCTGTCAAAAGTTTAGACACTAAGGTCCAGCCAGGTGGCATGGTGGTTAAGGTACTGAGTCCCACAAGGCCAAGTGTGTGATTTGAGTCCTGGACCTGACAGCTTGGGAAATATATCAGGCATGTGTGTATGTGTGCCTAAAATCCCAAGAGGAGAATAGAGAAGAAGAGATTGCAGCATTGCCAACCCCTCTGGGAATTATTTTTCACTTTCCCTCTCTCTGGCAAGCATACATAACCTATAGCAAAAAAAAAAAAAAAAAAAAAGAGTTAAAAAAGTTTAGGCACTAAATGTGCATCTGTTAATAGATGCATTTTTGCATCAAACTAAAGCATTTTTACATTAAATTTCATTTTACATTTTATGTTTTCCTGTGGTGAATATGTTGAAATTACAGTTCTGTGTATGTGTTATTGTTCAAATTCCTAGATGATCAGCAAGCTTTGAACTCGATCATGCAAGATTTGGCTGTCCTTCATAATAAGGCTAGTCGACCAGCATTATCATTACAGGAAACCAGAAAAGGAAAATCTTCATCACCAAAAAAACAGGTATTTCTTTCAATATTATTTTAATAAGTATATCCTGTTGCCATGAGGTATTTTTCCTTAATGCCCTTGCCCTATAAAGGACTTGTTTAAAGTGTTTAGCCTTTACATTTTTAAATCAATAACATTTTTTCTTGTTATACATTTTCCCACTAAGTGTGTGTGTTTTTACAAAATGGTAGTTTAACGTGGTAACTGCTTTCTAATGCTAATGTTTCATCCATTCTTCGAGTACTTAAGATAAGCAAAAAAAAAAAAAAAAAAAAAACCCAAAATTCCTTTAGTCTACTCTAGATATTTATAAATGAGGATGATTTTGATTATTTTATTTTATTACTGGAGGGCCTGTGCACTTACTACCAGAGAGAGAGAGTAAGAGAGCACACCCTCCAATGAGACACAGACACACAGGAATCCCCTTTCCCCTCCCTCTAGTCCCTTGGGACTGGCCCAATTTTGATTTTTTTTTTTTTAATGAAATTACTTCATGCCCAGCATAAAAAATGGAAATAAAGTATTCTATATTTCCTTGTAACAAGATCAGCAAATGTCTCATACCTATGATGTCTTCATTAATATAGGTCTTGATGCTTTCCTGTTGAGTCTAGATTCAGCAACGTCATTCTCAGCTCAGCTTGTTGGTAGACACTATGAGTTGTTGGAGGGGAACTAAAAATGAAACTTTCCTCTCCTCTTTGCTCTATTTTAGATGTGCGACTAAGAAAAAAATGATTTAGAAATTTTATTTGATCTCTGAATGATTAATGACTGATTTATCATTTCATTACAGAATGATGTCCGAGTCAAATTTGAACATAGAGGAGAAAAAAGGTATGGGGAAGCATTATATGCCAGTCCGTGGATTTAGTCAAATATATACAGTAGTATTCTTATTTAACTACTAAAGGCTCTTTCCAGATTTGAATTAAGTTCCATGGTTTATAAATCGAGAATGGAGTAGTCCTTGGTAATGTGGAATAGTGCTTAAGACTAAGATAGACTGTCAGAATTCAGGCTGATTATTAGAAATTATTAATGTTTTTACCATGCATTACCAGGGAATAAAAGTATAATGTATCCATTAGTTATTATCATTTCCTTTTTCTTTGGGAGGTTTTTGCTATAAGGTGCATGTGCTCACCAGAGAAACAGAAAGCGAGAAATCACCCCCTGGGGGATGGCTACGTCACAATCCCTTCTCCTCCATTCTCCTCTCAGGATCTTGGGCACACACACACATGTGCCTGGCGTGAGTTTAAGCCACTGGGTCCAGGATTCAAACCATGATCGACTACATGGGAGTCCAGCGACATAGCCATTACACCAACTGCTGGTCCCTATCATTTCCTTTTATTTTACTCGGTGGGAGTTAAATATATTTCCATATATGTAGTCTATACAGAATTTATATATGTGAACTTAACAGTCACAATTTTGATTATGTTCTAGAGACCTCATTGCTGTGATGTGTATTTCATTAATGATGTTGAGGAAGTTAAGTTGAATGGTGTTCTTAAATTATTTAGCAGAGATGTAAACCTCACCTTCCCATATCTTTATTTTAGTACAAAAGTGATGAGAGAGGTAGTTGACGATAAAATTGCTGTCAAAATCCAAGAGAAGTTAGAGAAAGTGGGATTTTAGTTCAGCTGTTAGTGTCTCATTAAATTAATAAAAGTCTATTTTTTTTCCTCTTGTCAGAGGTGCATGTGCTCATTAGAAACAGAAAGGAATAAAGCATCCCCATTGGGATGTGGTCACATTGCAGTTCTTTTCTTCATTTTCCCATTCTGTCAGGATATGGGGCATGCATGCATATCTGTCTGGCATGTTTTTCTTTTTGAGAGGTTTTTGCCTTAGGGCATGTGTGCTCACTGAAGAAAGACATACAGTGAGAAGGAAAGTAAGAAATCACCCCCCCCACCCCCTCCCCCTGGGGCCATACTGCAATTCCTTCTCTTCCATTCTTCTCCCAGGATCTTGGGCACATGTCTGGCATGAGTTTCAAGCCACCAAGTCTGTGATTAAAACTGCAGTCGGCCATGTGGGAGTCCAGTCACATAACCACTGCAATATCTGCTGGCCCCTCTGGCCTGTTTTTTAAGCTGCTGGGGCCAGGATTCAAACTACATGGTCGGCCATATAATATCTGGCTCCTTTAACTATCAAGCCACAGAGCTGGCCCACGTCTATTAGCTTTAAAGATTTAAAGATGGCTCACAATCATATAACTTGAAGACGTAAACATATTTTACACAGAGATGTTGAAAACCACGGAATATACCACATATGTCATAGAACTGTTATCCAATCTGTTTTCTATTTAAGGTCCTTTTATGGATATTTTCCCAATTTTTTGTTCATTTAATACTATTTCTTTGAGTACTTAGTATATGCTGAGCCCTGAAGGGATAATGTGAGCAAAGCAAATGCAGTCTCTCCCTGCACAGAACTTAGGGTCTGGTGGCCTCCATACTGTAGTACATGCTCTCCAGCGGTAGTGCAGGTCAGTCCTTTGGAATGTAGAAAAAAAAGTTAGGATTTTAATTTTAAAATTTTTAATCCTTTAAAAATACTTATTTTGGAGGTATGGTTACATGGCGTATATGCTCAAAAATGTCGAGTTAATAAGGAATTGAATCAAAGTTAGAATCCCCAAAGAATAACTTTATTCTCTGTAGCAGTTTCATTGCAATCTGTTGTGCAGATATAACATAGTTAAGTTTGCTCACTTTCCTCAGTTGATACTTTACATTGTTCATTAACACTGCTATGACAGTTTCAGTACAAATTTAAAAATGCAGAATATTTTGAGAATTTCCTTTCTAAAATTTTTATAAGGCTAGAACAAACTTCAGAGTTCTTGAACATTGTGTTGAGAATTTGTGTACTTGATCAGAAATGAACTGTTGCATGTTTAAGTGACTACACAATTTTTACTTCTACAGTTCTTTAACAACAAGTATCTGTTGCAAATGTATTATTTAACTATGTCTAAAGAAATAAAATATTTTAAAATTTGTTTATATAGAATCCTTCAGTTCCCCAGACCAGTTAAACTGGAAGATCTGAGGTCTAAAGCTAAAGTTGCCTTTGGACAGTCTATGGATCTACACTATACCAATAATGAGGTAAACATGTGCAGTTTAACTTTTAGTAGTAACTGTTGTTTTGGAAAGTAATTTGTAATAGCACAAGGAAATTTGTAAATATTAACCGATTGAAATGGATTTGGATTTTTTTCCATTGTAGAAAATAATGAAAGATGCTACTGTGCACATATTGAATGAGAATCTGTTATAGGAGGAAATATATGTGCTTCTTGGAAGTTTGCTACTTATTTATTATTATTATTTTTTAATGAGAGAGAGAGAGAGAATATGTAGGTGGGCAGGAATGTGGGGAGAAGAGGTATTTTTGACAGGGTCTTGTCATTGTGATCTTCTGCCCCAGTGTCTGTGTTAACTAAGATCACAGGCATGGGCTTGGTCCAGGAGTTGAAATGGGCCTCCCATGTCGCCCGGGCCTTGTGCAGCAGTACCCTCCCCTTGCCACCACAGCTGGACCTGCTTATATATGTTTTGTTTTTACTCTATGTACTTTATTAATGAACTGTCTTCTTTCAAACTCCACATTTGGCTACAGAAAATAGAACTTTGTTAGTCAGATGGTTTGATTAAAATTTAAAGGATTATTTTAGCATTCGTTAGGACATGATTAAATTATTGTGCTTATGTTTGGGAATCAGTCATGTGATCTTAAGGAGTGGCTCTGACACTGAGGAGCTCTGTGTACTGGGGAACCTCTTCTTCCCTTTTAAGGTTTATTTATTTATTCCTTGAGAGATGGAGACAGGGAGAGAGAGAGACAGACAGGAGCCTCCTATTAGGTCTCCAGTGCTATGATCCTACCCCTACCACGAGCCTTGTCAGCTAGGATCACGGGCGTATGTGTGTGTGTACAGGGAGACCTTAGGACACAAAGGCTGGACCTTCACATATGACTGGCACATTGCAGAACATTGCATTACCAATGTACTACCATGGCTGGCTGGAAAAACCTTTCAGAATCTTTTGTAAAATTAGAATCAGGTTATATGATCTCAGATTTCTTTCAATTCTTCAGATCCTATGAGATTTCAGGGTTTTGAGATTTTAAAATTTACAGAGACAATTTAGTTAATTTTTTGAAATCTTAAAATATTCATCGAACTTTTTAGGCTTAATGCAATGGTTTGTGAATTGCAGCTCCACATAGAGTAGACATAGACTTGTGGTAGAAGCAGACAATAAATGAGTTATTTAAATAAATGAAATTCTTTGAAGGAAATGCGTGTTATGATAAAGAATAAAGGCAAGGGCAGTAGATGTCCTTTTTTTAAAAAAAAATCTTATTTCAAGTTGTTTTATACATTCAGTCACCTCATTTAGTTTGCAAGGTGACTATTCCAACATGTTTACATTTCTCTTCAGTCCAGTTGCTAAAACTATAAAGTTATCTTCAACAGCTAATATGCCATTTCTTTATCCCATTAATGCTTTGCCTCTCCATTTTTCTCCTTAATGTCCTTCCTCAGACTCTAATCCTTCACCTACTCTCTTCCCACACTTTATCTGGTATTCACAGCCATTTACTGTGTTTCTATATCCTTTAGTCATTCGGTTTCGGTCATAGAGTGTGGAAACTCGGTATATATTAAGTGGGGACCTTTTTCGTATTAAGCAAGAAATAACCGAGGTATTCATATTTATACAGAGACTAAAAGGCCAACCCTGTGCAGAATTTCAGGGGAAGGACATTGCCAGTAGAGAGTGGCTTGAGAGCAATGCACACAGCAATCCTAAGATGGAAAAGACTTGTATATTTCATGAATAGGAAAAGTGTCAGTGGAATGGAGTGACAGTGGACAGTTTAGCAAAGATTAATGCAAGAAAACATATGAAAGTAACTTTGCAAATGTTCAAGCATTGAAAATAATAGGGGGTCATCAGAAAAGTCAGGATACACTATCGCATAGAAAAATATAGAAAAATAGGTCATGACTTTTCCGAAGCCCCAATAGTTTGTAAATGAATTATTGCTATGTAAAGCAAAAGAAAAAGCTAACATGGCTTGTCTGTTGAAACCACTTACAGCTCAGGGATACAAATATCTTGTAAATATCTATATCTTAAATAATCAATATCTCAAACTCAGTGATAAGTACTATCTATAGTAATATTTTATACTTTTATTTTTCATATCCTTTTTGTGAGTTTTCAGTTAGCCATGAACACACTTTATTGCCCAGGCCTATTCTTGGCACTTACTATTTGTTTGTACTGATCTGATTACCATTTGCCAGCCCTGAGACTTTGAGGCTTTTCTAGAGGTATAGCTACAGGAGATGATGTACATACTGTAGGGGGTAGGGAGGTGGGAGATGGGCCTTGGAGTTTACTGGGCAGTGGGGATGGATTGATTCCACTTGCACACACCGGTAAGTTGAGGAATATAAAGTCCTTTATTGGCCTTTTCCCTTCCCTGTCTCCTCCATTCTTCTAGCAGTATTTCCTACTATCTTTTCCCACATAATGAACTTGAACTTGAATTCTTATGATTCTAGAGGATCCCAGAAATATCTCTTTTGGGAGGAGGGTGTCTAAAGTCATGTTATGGAAAACTTTCAGATGCCAAGATGTATTAAGATTACAAGACCATCTTGATCTGTTAGCCTAGCAGATCTATCAAGAAAAATGAGATTAGTTTGCGGTTTTTTTTTTTTTTTTCCCTGAGTTCTCCTGTTTATTCATATAATTTATTTTGTGGTTTTCTTGAGGATTGAGACCCAGTCTTAGTTTCAGGAACCCTTTTCTATTTTCCAAAAATGAGAAAATCCCCTCCCCCTTCAATAGAGTGTGCATGTGTACATGAGAGAGAGAGAGAGAGAAATTGGGGTAGAGAGGAAAGAGAGCATCCCCCAGTGAGGCCTGGTCATGTCACAATCCTCCTCCTTCTAATTCTCATCCTGTTCGAATCCTAGGCACTACACATGAGCCCAGGGTGTTACCACTAGGGCTAAACTTAAACCCTGTCGGCCATGTGGGATCCAGCTTCCTCTGGATACAGTTTCCTCTGCACAATACTTAGCTGCTACATTATGGGTCTGATCACAAGTGTCTTCTTATTTAATAATTTTTTCTCATGATTTGTGAGGGTTTCTGTGAAAGATCCTGCCAGTCAGGGTATTGGCTACTTGGGTATTGCGTGGTAGAGGTGGCATTAGGGTAAGATTACATTAAAATTTCTTGCAACCTTGAAGTCCTTCGAGAATCTGTGATTCTGTGAGTTAACCATGTCCTGATTGACATCATGACCTATTGTCCCAAACCAAATACATGACCTTGTACATTAAGGGAACATTTTAGTCCATTTTTCTGATGCTAACAACTAAATAGCAAAGACTGGATAATCTATAATGAATACAGATTTACCCAGTTCATGGTTTTGGAAATCCAAAAGATAAGAGGCTGCTGCTTCTTTTTCTTTCTTTCTTTCTTTTTTTTTTTTTTTTAACTGTCCACAGTATTTATTTATCAAGAGAAATTAATTTTTTTTTCTTTCTTTGGAGAGGTTTTTGCTATAGGGCGTGTATGCTCTCCAGAAAGACAGAGAGACAGAAAGCAAGAAATCACCCCCTAGGGGGGATGGCCACGCCACAATCTCTTCTCCATTCTCCTCTTGGGATCTTGGGCATGCACGCACATGTGCCCGGCGTGAGTTTAAGCCACCGGGACCAGGACTTGAACTGTGATCGACTACATGGGAGTCTAGTGACATAGCCATTACACTAACTGCTGGTCCCAAGAGAAACCATTCTTTAGCCCATGTATTCATGTTCCATAGTTCAGGAACATGGCACCAATTCAGTGACATTCTTTTTTTTTTGGTTTTTGCCATAGGGCACATGCGCTTGCCAGACAGAGAGAGACAGAGAGACAGAAAGCAAGAAGTCACCCCCCAGGGGGGATGGCCATGCCGCTATCCCTTCTCCTCCATTCTCCTCTCAGGATCTTGGGCATGCACGCACATGCGCCCGGCGTGAGTTTCAAGCCACTGGGTCAGGGACACGAACCGCGGTCGACTACGTGGGAATCCAATAACAGCCATTACGCTAACTGCTGGTCCCTCCAGTGACATTCTTTACATTCCAAAATCACTTTGTACTCTGAAAGATACCAGCCTTCCTCATCTCTTCAAAATCTTTCATGGAATCATAATTTCTGTAGAAATCTGCATATGCCTTCTTTCTTGGTTCAGCCACAGGAGACATAGAAAGCTGCAACACTCAGGGATATAATGAATGCTCCAACAGTATGAAATCGCAGATGCGTGGCCAGAATTCGCCAAAGCACTGGAAGCCATGGCAGTTACTGTGTCTCAATAGCAACGTCCTTCCCGGCTGAAGAAGAAAAATCGAGGCTGCTTCTCATGAGGATCTTCTTGTTGGGGACTCTGTGCAGAGTCCCTCTGTGCAGTGTAGGACATCACATGCAGGAGAGCAAGAGCATGTTAGCTTGGCTCTCTCTCCCTCTTCTTCTAAAGTCACTAGTATTCATTAATGAGGGCCGTATTCTGATGACCTTGTCTAATCCTGACCACCTCCTAAATGCCCCATCTCTTAATACCAGACTTATGTTAAGGTTTCACTCTATTAACTATCACAATAGCAACCCAATTTTAACACCTGATTTATAAAGGGGCATATTCAGATCATAGCAGGATATTAGGGATAACCTTATAAGGGATGTTAGTTTTGTGGACCTGCGGACAAGGAAAAAATTCATTTATACTGCATATTATTTTATTTCTATATATTCCTCTGAAATGAACTATCCTGTGAACTTTTAGTTTGTCAGAATTGGAACAACTAGAAAATTTAAGCTGAGATTGGCTGAATTTGCTAGTTTAACTTCTCTTTATCTGATAAAGTTCTAGCTGTGTGTGTGTGTGTGTGTGTGTGTGTGTGTGTGTGCGCTTGTGCACATGTGTGTGTGGTGGGGAGTGAATATGGAGGCGTTGAGGCAGAGTAAGGATTTTCTAAGATCTTTCCCATTTTAGATTAGTAGAGTAAGAAAACCTTTTTCATACT